GTTTAGCTCATTTATTTAAACTCTCATACTTTATCTGTTTTCTTGAAGTAGAAATTGCTTGTCTGTAATTCAGCTTCGTGATCATGGCATTGTACATTGTCCCATTGGTAAACCCCCTTGCTAGGAAGTGAAAAGCGAAAGAAAAGCTTTTATTAGATTAATTTTTTCATGTGATTTTGACGCGATGTGAGCCTCTCACTGGGGCCGCTATGCCAAAAGCTAGAGAAATCACATCCCCCTCTTTCAAGAGGATTTGCGGCATGTCAAGCTCTAGTAAGGTTCATAGCTTTATATTGAATTAAACCACATGCTCCACTACTTGTGAGGCCCCTGTCAATTCTAAGGAATGAAGTTCGTTGATTTTAGGTAAAGTTAGCTATCAAATAATTCCAATGTGTAATGAGTTCAATCCATTAAATTTTTCAACGAGTTTCACTGTTAGAATATCTAACTCATCAACATTCTAGATTCTTCTCCTATTTGTTATTAGATGTTTATTCTAGATCCTTCTTCTATTTGTTATGTAGTTGATTTGTTAGATATTTATTCTATAAATAGAGCAATGTATTTTCATTATCACTTGAACTTTGATGAATGAAATAATTCTTCTCAATTCAGTTTATTCATCAAGTTCCTTCATTATAGTTTTGATATTGAATCTATCCTTTTATTTTCTTAATATAGTATCAGCGCGAATTTCAGCTTCCAGGTTCATGGATTTTCGAATGTTGGTGGATAAGGTGCACCCGCAGGCAGGGGCGGAGGCAGGGGGGGTCCTGGACCCCCCTAATTTTTTGAAATTTTTTTTTTTTTNTGTTAGCGACTAGCGAGTACAAGTTTCTACAAATTACAGAGATTCCTTGAGGGAAGTCAATTTTGCTCGTGCATCTGGTAAAACACCATAAAGATTGATCGATTTGAGATCAAGGCGATTCAGGCTAGTTAAATTGATCGATTTGAGATGAAGGCGTTTCAGGCTAGTTAAATTGAATAACCACTCCGGAATTGTGGAGTCAAAATCATTGTTGGAAAGGGACAATATTGTGACCGTTTGTGACCGATCGTGACCATTTTTGACCGATCGTGACCGTTTGTGACCAACCAACTGTGACCACTTGTGACCAATTGTGACCAACTGTGACCTGAAATTCTGGAAATATTTTGGAAGTTGGGAATGGATGGATAGCGTGGGTAGGTTGATCGGAGCATGCATTGGAGTGGTAATTAAAGCAGTTTTGTCAGAGATATAGTGAATAGTCGCAGGGGCGGAGGCAGGGGGTCCTGGGCCCCCCAATTTTTTGATTTTTTTTTTTTGTATTTATTTTTTTGTCCTCACCATTTTGATATTCATTGATATTCCATGTTCATTTCCTTGCTACCAATGACCCAATGTATCTATAATAAGCTAAAGAATGAAATTGTGTTACATGCTAATGTTTTTTGGTTTACTGTCTCACGGGATTTAAACATTCACAAATTGCAAAATGACATTGCTAAAGCATTGAATCTAGATTTTTCGGCTGAAGGTCATGAGCACAAGAGAGCAGCCAAATTGGGTAAGGCATTCAAGAGAATAAAGAGATCTGTATTCATGTTCGATGATGTGTGGACTTCATTTTCTTCACATAAGATTGGAATTTCTCCTTTTCTTGCTATATATGGATTTAAGATGATAGTAATTAGTCTATCACTAGAGGTGTGTCGCAAAATGGAATGCCAAAAGTATCTAAAAAAAATTTTTTCGGGGGCAGCCCCATGAGCCTCCCGCCCCTTCAACTCTAGGACCCCCCTACTTCAACAAGCTGGCTCCGCCTCTGCCCGCAAGTATTCTCGTCCATTTCGTGATGCTGAAGGCAACCTCGATGGTCAGCAAGCAGATGGAGTTCTGCACAAGGATTCATTTTATTGTTTTTATTCTTGCACCTTTGCTTCCTCCTTATCAATGAGTTATTCCACCATTGATGATGGATTTAGTTCATTTTCCTGCCTCCTGGAGCAGATCAATTACCATGGTTTCTTCTATTCTCTCTAGCTTTGTACTGAAGATGTTTTCATGAAATTTATTTCGATTCCATTGTGTATGTTCTTCTCCTTTATAGATGTTAATTCATGGTTTCTAATCCATGCAAAATCTGAAGATAACTTTGGCTTCAGATCCAGCATTGTTCTGGAATTGGTGGTTGCTGCTGATGGAATGGCAGGAGCTGCCATGTATGAACTTGTTCATGTTGGTCATGACAGCCATTGGGGAAATTATTCGGTTGGAAGGAGATTCTGCCACGATTTAAGTTTATGAAGAAACAACTAGGTTGATGGTGAATGATCCTGTTCTACGAACACACAAGCCTCTGTCATTGGAATTTGGAGCCTGGAATTCCAGGGAACATCTTTGATGATATACCTGCAATTTATACAGGAATCACTATTGCTGAATATTTCAGATATATGGGCTACAATGTCAGTATGATGGCAGATTCAACATCTCGTTGGGCAGAAGCATTACATGAAATTTCAGATTGTTCCTTCAATTCTTTTCATGTCCCACACTTTAATCTTCAAGATTGACTATTGTTGATCTTCATAGTCCATCTTGAAGGAGGTGTGTTAGAATATCCAGCTCATCATCATTCTAGATCATTCTCCTATTTGTTATTGGATGCTTATTTTAGACCCTTCTTCTATTTATTATGTAGTTAATTTGTTAGAAATTTACTCTATAAATAGAGTAATATATTTCTATTATCACTTGAACTTTGATGAAATGAAATAATTCTCCTCCATTTAGTTTATTTAGCAAGTTCCTTCAATATAGTTTCTATATTGAATCTATCCTTTTATCTTCTTAATACACAACATAGTGTAATATCCACCAGAACTTCAAGCCAAGCCGCATTCCAATCTGAATATAAAAGTCAAGTTCAATCGCCGAAAGTGATATCTCTTTTAGTCTAATTTTCTTCTCTTTTGAGTTGGGTTCTTAAGACAGGAAATTAGGATTATCTTTCTAGTGATGTCATAAGTTAGGGTCCGTTTGATTGCAATAGTGGAAAATGAGTGGAAAAAAAAATTTCATGGAAACTAATTGTCTAGAAATTGTTTTCCAGTAAATCGTTAATTAAGTGTATTTGATTAGTATAATTTTCTACTCGAAAAACTTTTAAATTTTGAGTTCGTTTGGCTTTGTTTTTCATAGAAATTGTCCATTAAATTGATAATTTTTCCACAATTAGTTATAAAATTTGCTTACATTGCCAAAAAGTAAAAAAAAAAAAAAAAAAAAAATTCCTAAAAAATTATTTTTTTTTTATCAAAGTTTAATATTCGTTTGGCTTTGTTTTACATGAAAATTGTCCATTAAAGTGAATTTTTTTTACAATTAGTTATGAAATTTATTTCCATTGCCATAAAAAAAAAAAATTTGCATTTTCCCACCAAAATGGTGGGAAAGGAATTTAATTTCCATTTTCTTAGGAAAAAGTGGCCCATCAAACATGACCTCACTTCAAAATTGAAATTGAAAATCATAGAGACTAGAATTCAGTAAAAATAGATGCGCCTTTATTTGAGGAAAGCTATTCACAAGCAGTGGTTATGACCAAATAGAGACAGCAAGCCCCTTGTATAGGTCGGGTGCTGTCGTTTTATACTATACAAATATAATATTAATTAAAGGTTTTTTCCTTTATGATAAAAAAATCTTTTTCAAGTTTACTTCTTTCGACGACGAATTAATAGGTAACACACTTGACACTTCACTGTATTTCAAATCTTTTTTTTTAAGTGAATTTTCGAACTGTTCAATAAACATACACCACTCCATCCCGAAGAGTAACTAGGACCAATTTAGTCACATTTTCATCTTCCAATTGAAGACATTCCATTTTTAATTATTCTCAAAAGACAAAATTGTTCTAATTATCAAACATATACGGATCAAATGATGATCTTATAATAAGAACAATAGATCTTTCTCGATCACTGAGGAGAATTCCAAAAACTGAGAGAGATGAAGAGAGAAGGTCAAAGAGTAGTTCGATCAAAAGCAAGGAAAAGTTTGGATTTGGTGAGGCGAACTCACTACATCAAAAGATGCAGCCTTGCTTGCTTATTATGTTGTAATTGTCTACCTTCTTGACGAGTAGTGCACATAGAGAAATGCGAGATAATTCATATTTTATGAAACAAGAGTACATATTTGTGAAAATACTATGGCCAAAAAAGTCGTTTATTAGAGAATAAGACGTGCAAAAATGGTTAGACACACACACCTACAAAATGAAAGATAGGGATTAGAGAGACATCGGGCGAATGATACAATTGGGGGATAGGGCTTCATAAATCATTTGTAGCTTGCAATCTTCTTAAAAATTGTTCATGTCTCAGTACACATCTTTGATGTACGTAGGTAAAATGAGTGAATTGGGGATTGGGTTTTTTGGAACTGAAATTGGGGACGAACAATTGGGGTTTAAAGAAGTTTAAGGATCTTGGAAGTCGCATTTCCCATACGAAGATTATGGTGAATTGGTTTGATTTAGTTGTACTTTTTTTTAACTATCGTAATTTGTCACGTGAAATTTTTGTGCGATACGTCTCAATGAGTGAAACTAAGGGAGGATGGATGGCATACAAATTTTCAAAGATGAGTAACTAATGGTAAGCGGTTTGAAATTTGACAAGTAAATGATGATCATTGTATAAGTTGAGTAAATAACAAAATATTTTATTTTGATGATTTGGTTGAGTTGTAATTTTGTAACAGTAGTAACTTGTTAGGTGGATTTTTCATGCAACAAGATATTAACGAGAGGAATAGAAACCAAGGGATAATGGATGGAATGCAACGTCTTAAATATGAGGAATTATTGAAAGTAATTTAAAGTTTGATGAGTATCATGATATAAGTTGGGAGCCACTATTTTCATCAACCATTTTATGTATTTATTTCACTCTAAATCTATTCCTATTAAATTTTAAATTAAAAAAAGAAAAAATTATATCCATCCACAATACATTCCAACACTATCCGTATTAAATTCATTCACTTAAAAATTATATATCCACATGACTTTTATACATATACTAGTAGAAATACAATGGCTTAGTGGTAATGTGCGAAAACATTATTAGTATTTTCAATTTTTAAGTCTAACCATGTTGCATTGGATATACATTCGCAACTTCAAGCACGAAAATAATAATGTTATTTATCATTAATGATAATTTTCAATTTAGCCGATAAAATATTCTTGATTTTTTTTTCAATAAAATTGTGATGCTTTTAATATATTGGACGATGAATTAAATTGATAATAATAATCACTTATCGTTTTTAAGTATGAAAATTGCTCCAGACCAAAATAAACAAAAAAATAAAATAAAGCAAGAAACTTAGAAAAGTACTGTTCACATAAATGGACTTTAAAAAAAATCAATTGAATGAATGGTAAATGATAATATATCATTTTGTTATTTAATATTTAAGTTATTGTCGGTTGTATTAGACTTGTATCTTGGCATTTTTCTTTTCGTTTTTATTTTTAATATGTGAATTGTTTATAATCAGTTTAAAATATAAATAGATAGAAATAATATATGAGTAATACTTGTGAATTTTGTGAAATGTATGAATAAAAAAATAATTTGATCAAAAGTGTTAATAAATCTAAACAAAAAAATTTGTGTTCATGCGAAAAGTATTTTATTGTTTGAATGTATTGTTAAAATTGAATATGAGAAATAACGAACTTTGAAATAAAGAGATTCATCACGGGACTAAATTAAATTTGGATGAGTGATATGTCATTTTTGTCGCATGACATTGACCGACGAATTTGACTGTAAGATTGCAAGTCCATTCCACAAATGAACACTGTTACTCCCGTAAATTATGTGGCACTATTTTGAAGGAAGGACCCCACATCACCGACGTGTCATCGACTTAGAAGGCTTCAACCACTTATAAAGAGCCTCAGCTCAATGGCCTCATTCACTTGTATAAAGCCTTTGCTGGGAGTTTTAGAGCCTTGGTTTTAGGCATGGGCAAGGCCCTTAAACCATATGACCCATTTACATTTTCATTTTCTATATATGTGAATCCATTTCATCTTAAGGTATGTTCTCTAACCCTATCCTCTCCCCTTCTTAAATTTATATTTTTCTCGTTCGACAGCTGATTTGACCGTCGGAGTGCGAACGGTCGTCAGACCCTTTTCTTGACCCACGGCCTTTGCCTCCTAAAGAGGTGTTCAATGTGCAAGTGATGTCCACGTGGAGGAAATGTGACGGGAATTCTGTTGAGCTCATTTTTTAGGATCAACAGATTGACGCCGTCTGTTGGTTACAATACATTAACCATGTTATACCACAATCAAGAAGTCACGGGGAAAATATAGTTTTTTCGGACAGTTTCTCTACTGAAAAATATGGTTTTCTGGGTAGTTATCAACTGGAAAATAGAAAAGGCAGCAATTGAAGAAATTTCTGGGCAGTTCTACCCAAAGATCACAAAGTCAGCCACTAAAAAAGAAGAAAAATGGGTATTGAAAATCTCCTTGAACAAAGGAATTTTCCGGCGAAGGGTTGAAGAAACCCGGGTTGAAAAATGGCCATTGCCGATTAATGATTGAAGAAACTAGTCATGAAAATAGTTAAGAAAAAAGGTGGATTTATTCAATAAACATTCACCCATGAGTCTGTCCAAAAAAATATATTTTGTGTGCTCCCCGTGTTCGGCCATATCCGCCTATTCTTTGGAGCAAACTCAACATCAAAAGAAATACAAAACCAGCCATAGAAATGAAAAATAGAGCAGATGGTGATGAGCAACCAAAGTAATTTTCCTAGCATATTCTGGCATCAAGTTCCTGGATAAGGAAGCCACCATTGCTTTGTGTTTCAAAGACTAAATTTTAGTATTTACCATAGGAAAAAAGTAGCTACTGAAAAGAGAAAATGTTTGGCTAAAATTTTTGGTCAATAGAAAATGGTATAACCTCCAATCGCTGTCGGAGCCACCACAATCACCGACGTAGTAACTCCCACTGTTGAGGCAGCCCCAACCTTTCGCGGTCTCCATTGGTTTTCGTTGAGAAAGGCATGTATAACTTAACCTTCCGCAAGTCGTCGGAATCCGCTAAAAGCAATCCGGCCACACCACAGTGACCGTCGGTCCATTGTCCATGTTTGGTCCAATTTGTTCCACTCTGGGCATTATTTCTTGATGGAGACAGACTGACAGTGGCGTGTTCAAATGAACAAGTACTTTTTGATTGCTTTGTGTGCAGGCCAAAAGCAAGTTGTCAACTTAAAATTTGGAGACCACTTTTACTCCTAGTTGGGCTTTTGGATATTGTGGAACGGGCTTGGGTATTTAGTTTCATCATTCCCCAATACCTCTTGTTGGATTTTAAAAAATAAAAAATCCACGGGCCCTATAAACTTAAAGGTCTATTTTTATATTCTATTTTTGGATTAAGGATGCTGGGCCTAAGATTTATGCTCCAAAATACAATGAGAAAATTAGGCCCTATACCCTTTTTTAAAAGAGGAAATTACACCCACGCCTGGAAATAGATTTTTAATTTCAAAAATCCAATAACAACTTCAACATTTCAAAAATCAGGTTTTATTTAATAATTTAAAAATATTTTTTATTTTTATTTTTAAATATATATTTACAATAAAAAGAACAAACCCTAATCATTTCAACCATTTCTTCCCCTCCAACCTCTCTCCTCCCACCGCTCGCCGCCCCTCCGCCACAGTCACTACGGCTGCAGCCGGCGGCCTCAGTCACTTCTTCCTCTCCTCCTTATCTCTACAACTCTTCCTCTCCTCCAGTCGCTCTCTTCTCCCTCTCCGCCGCGAAGGCCGTCGGCTTTTCCCCTTCCATCCCATTCTCTCCTCCCCCTCTGCGTTCGTAAAAACCGTCGCCCAATCAATCGAAACCGTCAATCAATTGGAATCCTCCTCATAGCGGTGGCGGAAATTGAAAAATTCGACACCTCCGTGGCCGTGTGTCTCTCTTATCCATCGCTCGAAGATCCAATAGCCGTCTCTGGCCTTCATCTACAGTCGCCGTCTCTGGCCTTCATCTGCAGTCGCCGTCTCTAGCCTTCATCTGCAGTCGGCGACGGCACAGCAGCGTGCGTCGTGAACAGGAGAGTTCGAACGTACAGAAGCTCACATCGTCGGCACATCGTCGTCTTCCAGCTGCAGATCTGATTTTTTCGTTTTTTATTTTTTTAGTTTTGATTTTGATTTTGGTTGGATGGGTACGGTGATTTTAATGGTTGATGTGTTGTCAGTGTTGCTGTGGTGATTTTTCAGTCAAAGTGTAGTTGCATGGTTATGGCGGATCTAGCGGCGATTTTGGTATTGTTCAGTGTGTTGGTGTGCGTTGGTGTAGTTGAGGGTTTTTTGGATTGTCGAAATCGC